CAAAGCACTAAACGAAACAGCATTAAACGAGGTCATTTTAACATAGCGTAAATAGGGAAAAGGGAATATGTGACCAAAAATAAACAGATTTTACTTTAATTTTAAGTTATTTTTATATTAATTTGCATAAAAACATATGTTAAATAACACACAAACATATGCACACAGAAATATAAAGTTCATTTTTTTGTGACAATGGTCCTGGCTTTTCTGAAATTCTTGTTTTTTGTGATAGTCATGTAGTTTCATTTCTTGCTTTTTTTTCTTTCATTAAGCAAATGTCTGTAGCAGAAGATGACTCTCCTTTCAAAATCTGGATCATTCCCTACAATTTGATCAACAATTTCAGTTATCAATATTATTACCAAACTTTTATTAAGGAAATCTAAGTTCTTTGGTTTTTCATTTTCAGAATCACTATATTCCAGTTCTACATGAATTCCTTGTTCTTCCAGTTCTTGAAGGCCATTGTCAGTAAGGCTCTCATCAGAAACCTGCAGTGACTCCTCAATATCTTGCTTGTCTACATCTTCTAGTTCTGTAGTCTTGCTGTATCGATTAGGTTAGGTAATGCGATGCAGGCGCCTAGAGATCTCAACTTTACCCTGCCCCACGCTCATCCTCTACTCTTCCCATGTCTCTTCCTTCCTTCCGTTCTTTACCACCTCCAGGTTGTACCTCTGAGTGTTGCCTGGAGGATTCCCCCTTTTTCAATTTAATGTAATGTAATGTAATGTAATGTATCGATTAGGTTGACAAATTTGGTCAACCTAACCATATAGCGATAGTCTCTTGTTGAGAATTCTTGAATTCCTTCAAGCCATAACTTCTTCCACACTCCATTCATGCATTTATCAGTTAATTCTTGCCAAGTGAAGTCAATATTTCCTATGGCATCCATGATGTTATATTTTTTTTAAAATTGCACAAAGCAAACATAGATTTAAGGGAAGTATAGCACTACAATGAATTTCCACCTTTAGCTGATTAGTTCATGTTTGTAAATAATCGTATTATATATGAATCAATGAAATGCCGCGATAATTTGAATCCGTGTAAATTTTGAGCTTTTTTAAGGCTTTGAGCAGACTGCACTATATCGAGGCAGTGTTAACCAGGGTCTTGCTATATGTGTGAAGTTCAAGTGAAGAATGACTGCTTCATAGTTGGCATGTCCCTTCCCATAAAGAAGAGATAATTGTATTCTTGAATGGCTGCATGGATAACGACGCATATGACATACCTATTCAAGAACTTTATTTTGTGATTGTGATGGGAAAGTAAATTTATCTGAAATAATATATTTAGAAAGATTCAATTTGTCAATTTTGGGCCAAAATTGTCAATTTTAAAGCCATGGAACAGAGCAACGTAAGGATTTTAGAAGCAGATCTTCATTCTCCATGGGGAGAGCAAAGAAAAGACATTTTAAACAATATATATTTCGAAATAAACTTATATTTTTGAAAAAGGGTAAATAGAATAGACATAATTTTGGTGTAAGTTTGAAGAATTAAATTAAGTGAAAAAAGCACCATTTGTCATGTGGGCTGACAGAAATGCAGTGTTTAAAAAACAAGCTATCAATGAAATAGCAATGCTGACATTGATGTATTGAAAATCTAACTCCTTACTTTCATTTGAAAAATTGAAAAAACTGCATTCTGGAATCTGACTCTGGATAATAGCAATACAAATTTTTAATATAAAAAGTCATAAAAATATAAATTGGGAAAAATAGGTTGGATCTTTCTTAAGAATTGGAGAGAATCAGTAAAAATGGAACAGCTAGTTTTTATAAAAGAGACATTGGAGCCAATAGATGAAAAAGTGCAACTCATTGGCATTAAAAATATATTTCAAGTGTAGTTTGTATTACTAAATTTTATTTATCCCCAATGTATATTTGTTTTGAAAACATGGGTGCATTCGTTAATAGCTGTCACTGTGTGTCTCCGCTACTATGGGAGTGTGCTGTTGTTTGTAGGCATTTAGGAATGATGCTGAAAGATGGCCCTCCAGTGGCCAGGTGGTTCCATTCCCTGAACACTGGGAGTTCAGTTATGGATCATGTATCTCACTAGGAGTTTTCTGGGTTTTCTCCACGTCTGTAATTCCTGCATAGGGGCCAGTTACCCTTAAAAAGAATTATACGAAAATAGAGGGTCACCTATATCTGAATTTTTAAAATAAATATCTAAGCAAGTAAAAACAATTGATGCAAATTAAAAATAAAAAAAAATTTTTTAAAATAATATTTTATTTATAAATACTTCTACAACTAGGATGAAAGGAAAATTAACTAATTACAAATTCTTTCAAAGAATTCCATTTAATATTTCCTTTATAATATTCTTCTGTATTGAGATGATCTAAATAAAACATCTAAAAAATAAAGTTTTAAATTAATTTATAAAGGTGCTCATGTAAAAAAAAAAACTGATTTTAATAAAACTTACATGTTTGCGAACATAATGAACTAATGTTTCTAATATACAAGGATTGTGACATTTATAAGAAAAGAACATTCTCCATAGGGCTGCTGCTAAATCCATATCATCACCTAAGAATCCCTATGAATTAAAAAATATATAAATTAAAGTATTAAAAATTAATACATCCAATAAATTCAATTAATGCTACAAATTCTTCAACGATATACAGTGAAATGTTTGTATAATGCCAGTTTAACAAAATTTTTGGTATAACAAATTTATTTTGATTCCACTGCCAATTTCCTATTCAGTTCAATGTAAAAATGTTTCAGTTTAACAAATACCATTATAATGAAAATTTCAGTTTATCATAATAAAAATTCTGTTGCTACGAAAAGTTTCAATATAACAAATACATAAATCAATCATTTTTAGTAAACGATGGATATTATGTTAAACAGTCTGGAAACGCTAATTTTAATCCTTTAGTTATGGTTTCATTTTGATGTTATTACTCTACAGTTATTTCTTTTTAAGTTTAGAAGAAAAAATGTAGAAAAACAAAATGCAAAAGCAGTTTTTCTTTGGAAGATGATTAAAAAAATATTAGATAATGAGCAAAAAGGAATTAAACAAAAAGATATGCCTGACAACCTACAGGAATGCTGAGGCACAGTTCAGGATTTTATTGAAAAAGCTTTGATTAAACAAAGAACACAAACAAAAATTAGACTTCTTTTAGCAGAAAATTGTTATTTCTGCTTCTTCAAGCAGAAATAACAATTAGAGAGGCAAAATTTCAACTAATTGATACCGATACATCATTATTTTAATTGTTTGTATGTGATATTTTTGATGATTAAAAATTTATACTGTAATAAAAATACTGTATTTAATATAACTTACATTCTGAAAATTAAAATTTGGTTCCATTTAACTACTAATAAATAAATTGCATTTTTAAAAACATTTTTACCTCAAAATGTAAGCAGTTCTTTCATCTTTGCATTTTTCATGTATTTCAAGACTAGCTTACCCCCGTCACACATTGCTGCAATCTCAGAAGAAACAAAATTCAAGCAAACTCATTATGATAAAATTAAATTTACACTTTATCATTTTTATTGAAACTTATTATTATTATTATTAATTTTCATCGGGAAAACATTTCAAAGTGTCATTTCAATTCTATTTATTTATTGGAGTGCTTGTGGATACATGATATTTTTTGTTTTTCCAGCTGGTGAATACACGAATAAATCAGAAGGTTTCCAATGCGTGAGCTGGCCACATACAATTGTACATGTGAGAAGCACAGATTCTTTAAATTTAGCCCACATACTTGCAGAGATTGTTAGAAGTGCGATATTTCCCATTTTTATATACTTTTTTTAATCGTTTATAATTTTGATTATTTAATTGTTCCTTCCTCTCTTCCTTGGCATGTTGTGAAATTTCTGATAGTTGGATAATAAATCGTTTTATTGTAATTTGTCTTTTTAAATTATTTTGAGTTGATATTAAAATTTGGAAAAGGGGATCCCTAGATTGGTAAAATAGGCAAATTTCCTCCTACAACTTTGGTTGTTGTTCNCCCAGCGAAGCGGGTCCTTGCAGCTAGATTCTAGATTACTTAGAAAAACAGTCTTTTATATATATAAAAAAACTATATTACATATAAATATATGAACAAATAAAAACCCAGCAAAGCGGGTCCTTGCAGCTAGTTAATTAAATAAAACTGAAATGGATTTTTGTCTGTATTTCTCTCTCTCTTCACTAGATGGAGACATACGAATTAATACTTTCTGTCTATAAGAAAAGTCTATTATTGAAGTTTACTATTATATTTGAAGAACTGACATTAAATTATAATTAGTTAATTAGCAAAATCTTTGAGGAATTAAAAAAGGAATGTCATCACGCTAGATGGCAGTACGTGTACTTATGGTGGTTTCAAATTGTTAAGCATTAATTTCTGCAGGTAATTGTACAAAATAGTTATTGAATTTATCTCAAATGAATATTTTTGAGATTGATTGATAAATAATGCCGAGAGCTGAGAGGCAAGATAATAATAATCTTATTTGGAATTTTAAAATTACAACTGGTTTTCACATATATCAATAATTAATGAACAATTAGTTCAAATTTTTGAAGTTCTATATGTATATAAGAGCGGGCGAGGCCATGACAGGGAATGCTAGTTTTTAATACATTATCAGCTGAACATATGAATTTATTTATACACAGTAAACTGTTATTTAGATAATAATATTTAAAATTTACTATTCTGAATAGTCTTGAATAAAACATAATGCAAATCTGGATAAAAGTATTAGAACATACATTTTAATTAATTTATTTCTGAAAGTTTTTCAATAAAAGAGAAAAAAGTTAGTACTGGAATATTTAAATTCATTTCTGAATAAAATTTGGGATTATAATATAAAGATAATCCAATGTAATAATTTTAGCTAATTATAATTTTTTAAACTAGAAATATTTTAAGTAAGGAGGAAAAATATTAAATAAAATACTTTAATGCATATTTTAAGTAAGGAGGAAAAATTTTAAATAAAACACTTATAAATATATATTTACCAAACATGAAGTTCAATAACCAAGAACCAAGAAGTGAAAGTATCTGGTAATTTGAAATCTGAAAATTAATTAAATTTGCATTAGATATTTTTTTCTAAATATTTCCATTCATCACATATTATATATTAAGAATTATAACTCTAGATTAATCTTTGTAATAATGAATAAAAGTCATTGGATAATATAAACAAAAAAATAAATAGTTTCCATATCCAATAAATGTGTGTGTTAAAATGTAGTGTTAAAATGTTTAATGAATTAACTGATATTGTAATTTAATATGTACTGTGCATTCTAATATCAAATTTACATATGAAAATCAAACATAATGCTGTGACTTCAAATATAATCATATCAACTATTGTTAATGCAAACAGCAATTGGACAAACAATTAAATATTAAAATAAAAAATATGTCAAGTAGAATGAAACTTGAATTATCATATTAAGCTATACATCTATTTCAATAAACAATTCATTATAAAATATTTATAACATCTTTAACTTTCAATTTTACCTTTTTTTTTTTTTTTTTTTGAAATTTTAATGTTTTACTCAAATTACAGTAAGTATGAAACATGTTATTGTGACCACAGAGTCAGCACCTCTTTGATGCCTTGTCAGGACTGCCACCACCGTGTCTCAGTTGAAATGGGAGCTGCAACGGTGAGTTTAGTTTGGGTTAAAAAGTAGGTCACGTGAGCAGCCGTGTGAGTAAGCAATCAGGTTCCGGATGGAAACGGAGAGACAGCCTAACAGAAGTAAAGTACTCAGACACTAAAGTTAACAACTAAATAACTGTTTAATTTCAATGAAAAGGAGTATATGATACAATATATATTGTGTTATATCAACTTAGCCTATCTATCTAGTGGTTGCAAGAAAGAAAGTTTACAATTGTACCTGCATTGATGATGATGATGCTTCTTGATTTGGAATTTGTGAGGACTCAGAGGTCAAGGGTCTCCAAGTTGCCTGGATTTGGATCGTTTGGGACAGGTCTGGATCAAGAAAGTTTTGGATCGAGCTAGGAAAGTTCTTCTAGGCACAGTTCAGGGTAACATGAAAATCCAATAGAGTACAATTGGCACTGATACAGGAACATTTCAATGACTTTAATCCTAGAGGGACAGGTGATGACTGCCACCATCAAGGGACTGGCAACGACTCCTTGACTGCCCATTTGGTATTATATTAAAATGATGAAATTGGGAAAGCAGATCATAAGGTCACGTGAAAGTGTCTTTATTGATGCTGAGAACTTAAAAGGAGATATACTCCCAAGTGTGAAAGTTGACAGATAGTTGACAAAGTTGAAGTTACAATGTTAGATTGTTTATGTTGAAGTCAGGATTCTCACATTATTATTAATTAATTTACATATGTAAATAGCAACTCTGTTTACTTCAGTAACAAATTGTAACAATCAAATTTAGTTCACTTAAAGAACAGATATTTAATTTAATTTTAGAAAATATTGTTTAATTGAAAGTATCCCATGAACTCAACAGCAATCAGTTTAATCAAGGATTGCATTATTCAAGATGAATTGTGAAAGTGTTTTGTCAACAAAGATAAGAGAATGTAGTACAGTACAGTTCATTTATCAACTTTGCTGGATGATTACACAGTAATCAAAAGAAACTCTTGAAGTTTTAAATTGAATTTACTCTGATGATGTCTCATACTATAAATTCTAAAAATTATACTATATGTATAATTGTAGTTTTAAATAAAATTAAAAGTATTTTATTGTATAATTTAAAAGTTATGTTCAGTAAGTAGGTCTAATCTAAAAATAGTGTATATCATACATGTTAATTTTTTACAACTCAAGTTTAATTCACCAAATATTCTGTGTTATCTGAGTTTTTAACTATCTGATTTTAATACACTCAGTCCATATTACTTTGAATAATTAAGACTCTTTTATATTACAAAAAGTCAAATTCTACATGTTTAAGTTTCAAAATATTTTCATATTAAAAGAAATACTTAAAATTACTTAAAAGTGTATCACAATTAGTAATACATTAGTAAGTTAGTAATAGATACTTAATAATTTGTTTCAATTTTGTTACACAGTATAATAATAAAATATTTTTAAAAACTTACATTTAACTAAAATTTTACATTATATCTTTAATAATCTAATCAAACATCCAGTCTTTGTTATAATAAAATAAAATTTGTGATAACAGAATTGTAAAATTTATCAAAGTAATTTACTTACATGAGAAAAACTCTTTAACGTCAATATTATCTGCACAAGCTTCATAAACGTAAATAGCTGAACTCTCTCTTTTCTAGAAAAAAATTTATTATCATCTTTCATGCACTTAACAATTTAATACTCATTTCATTTCAGTTTTTTTAATGTAATGATTTATACAGAAATTTAATTTATTAATAATATTAAATCTTAATATATTACATCAAACTGAAGTCTAATTTTTATATTAAAATTTATTTTACCATTACAAACAACATACCCACATTGTATCATATTCAAAATATTCCTTATAACATGTTTTTCAAGATAAATCTTTAATCTGTTTCTATACGATGCTAATTTCTTTAAATCTAACTGTTTTCCAAAACTTTGTTAGATCTAAATTAGTTTTCTTTAATTATAATTATTTTCATTTAATGAAAACATCTTATCATTTATTTATCAGTATATTATAAATTTAAGAAATTGAGATTTTTCATTACTAAAATTTCATGTGTATAACCTTCAAAGGATATGGGTATATTGTAAACAGTTGAAAGAAAATTAATTTATTTAATTTAAAATATGTGCTTTCCACCTCAAATTAGTACTGTAGTGTCTTGCCCCTGTACATTATACTTTTCTGTTAGCAAGGGAGTCGTGCCAGTCAACTCCTTTCAAGAGAAATGTTTTGAATTGAAATAATGTGACTTCTGGTTTGTATCAGAAGTTCATATATAATTAATTGGGGTCTCCTACTCCTAAGCTTTCTTTATCTGGTCTTGACTTTCATGTATCTAACTTCATTCTCAAGATTAAGGAAGGACAGACACTTGTGAGTTAAAATTGGCAGATAACCTACATATGCTTTCATATTGACTTTTAAATATAGAGTGAGTAAAAAGTCTGTAAAAACTTTAAACATTTATAAAAAGTGGAAGAATTATTGGAATGAAATGCAGTTTACTTGGTAAATATTGTTACGTAAGTTTTTGTTGATGGAAAAAATTAGTTCCAAATCACTGCTAGGTGTTGTTGACATACCAAGAGATTGAAAAAAACAACAATGAAAATAACTTTAAATGTGTTTATTAGACAAATGTTTGACAGTTCCTCCCTCTACCATAGAGTATAACACAATTTAGCCAAGTAGCAATGTGTGCAGAGTGCAACAGGTCTGGATGGATGAATGTTGCCTCAGGACAAATAGCATTTTCAATTTCAACATGAAAGGACCTGTAAGGAAGAAAGCTTACTGATTTTCAGCATTCTGTTTATACATTTGCTGAATTAAATGCAAGTACTTTTGACATTTCAAAATGTCTTCCTCAAGCAACAAAAAATAATATATAAAATTTGAATATTGATTTTGAAAACTCTTTACATTAATCAAACATACAAGTGTTTTTTGATCTAAATGTGTTAGTTTTCACACATGTGCTATAAAATTTTTTAATTTGAATTTAAAACAAATATAAAAATTAATCTCAATATATAAAATGTGAATAAAAAATAAATAAAAAATGAAAATAGATAAGGCTAAATAAAATAACATAAAGTTAAAATAAAAATAAAACCTAGATAAAAATTAAGCTTTTAAGTTTTCATGAAGTTTTATTCATATGTCAGCAATTTCAAGAGAGAGAGAGTTGCAGGGTTTCAATAAAGATATGTATAATGATTCCCAAATAAACAATGTTCTATGATCTATGTTTATTGCTTGAGAATGGAAGTATTGGCCCACAGTGGAATAAAATTATTTTCTAATATGTTTTTTGCAAGATCAGTGAAAGGAGTGTTGTTTTTAACATCATCCTGGTGTTCATTTAAGCAGTTTACTTTCTAATTGTAGCACATATTAAAAGATCTTTGTTCCTGTATGCACTTGTTGTAATGGGATTATATAAACCCAGACTTCTCCAAAAAATATAATACTTGCTTGAGGAAGATATTATGAAATGTTGAAAGTACTTGCATTTAATTCATCAAATGTATAAACATAACACCAAAAGATAGCATGCTTTCTTCCTTACAGCATATTTGGCATTGCCAAATATACTGTAAGGAATTTATATACTGTATGAGATTATGAAGTTTTACATTTACTGGAATTTAAATATCCTCACAATCAGAAATCACATTGAAAGTCATTTTCATTGTTGTTTGCACATCTACTTGCTTGCTTGACTACCCTCTAGTCTAGTGGGATGGTTGGACATTTGCATATCTACTCATTGTATCCCAATACCACCTATCAGTGATTTTTTGAACTAAGTTTTTCCCCATCAACAAAAACCCATGCTTACAATACTTACCACACAATATACATTTCATTCTGATAATTCTTCCATTTTTTTATGAATGTTTGAAGTTTTTACAGACTTTCGCCTGTCAAGTAGATAAAGCTAGCTATTTTTGATACTACTTATTTGAATTATTCCAATTTAATTAACAAATTCAATTACTACTTACACCTTTTACATAAAAATTCCATTTGATTTCTTTACCAATTTTCTTAAAAAATCCATCTTGATCTGGAATTGAAGGTTTGGCTATTGGAAACTAAAAGTATATTCAATTATTTACTGAATGTTAAAAATAAATTTTTTATTATAGTTTAATACATGTTAAGTCAATAACTTTTTGATTCGAAATTTTTCATTTATAAATTATCAAACTATTTATACAAGATATTCAATAACAAGATTATATTAAACATTACTAAATATGGGTGTACAGTACCTTGCTAATATGGCAGATTATGTTTTAGACAACCACTATAAAGTGAATATCATCTTAAAGTGAAACAGTCTTTTTTCCACATACCATAAAAGCCTAAAAAAATGCAAAAGTAAAAAAAATAAAAAATTTTGGAAACTTTAAGAAGAAAGTAAATGCCAAAAATAAATGTAAATATAATTGAAAACTGCCATACTAGCAAAGCACTGTATAGCAAAATATGTTAAAGCTTGTACAGATATAATCTTGAAATGAATTATCATTGTAAATTATTTGAAGATTATGTCTGTTTTGAATAATAATAAAATTAAAGTCACAATATATATAATAGCATATAAATATTAACTATATATTCAAAGTATACTAGAATGGTGAAATCATTATTAAATACAGTTTGAACATGCTCAGCAGAGATAAAGTATAAATTTTTGACACCTATTCATTTGCTGAGAGAATATTTTTTATTCACTAATGTTTTCAGCCTACTCCTATAGGCCATCATCAGGTTTCTCAAAACCATTTATAGAAAATGTTCCATGAATAGAACATTCTATTTAAAATTTAACTTTTGAAGTATTCTAAATACAAATTTAAGTTGAAACAAATTAAATAAATAACTTGTGAAATATAAGGTTAACATTAAATAAAAATAAACCTAAGAAATATACAATGTTAACAAAATACAAATAAATATGTGAATTAGAAAAATATATAATAAAAACTATGATAGTATAACACAAAAGCTCAATATGATTATAGGTGACACATAATTCAGGGGTTTTTATGTCTAAATATTTTTTCAATGATGTATTTCCAGGCTGAAGGTAATATGTTTGCATCTCTCGCATTCAGGCACTGCTCTTTGATCTTGCTCTTGTAAATAAGTTTTTGTAAGTTGTCACCTCATTTATAGTGGATACAAAAACTTGAGGATAGTTTACAAAAGACCTCCTAATATTTACAACTTACTGAAAAATGATAAAGACAAACTAAAGAAAGAAGAACAGGCTGGAGTATACAAAATACCTTATGAAAATCAATAGTTACAGGTCCAAAAAGATTACCTTGGAGTCACAAAAAGAAACCTCATGGTGCGACTCAAGGAACATAAGTACAAGGTAGAAAAAGGCCATAGCAATACAATTTTAGTGGCAATGTCACAGGTAGGCTCTGTTATAAAGTGGGATGAAGCAAACATCATTAAAAAGGTACATTCTCCAACCATCACTATAGATATGGAAAAAATAGAGATTTACAAGAGCAAGATCAAAGAGCAGTGCCTGAATGCAAGAGATACAAATGCATTACCTTCGGTCTGGAAATACATCATTGAAAAAAGATGTGGACATAAAAACCCGAATTATGTCCCCCCCTATAATCATATTTGGCTTGTGTGTTATATTATCATAGTTTTTATTACAGTATATATTTTTCTAATTCACATATTTATTTGTATTATATTGTACAGCCTGTAGTGTAGGCTGAAAACATTAGTGAATAAAAAAATATTCTCTCAGCAAATGAATAGATATGGTCAAAAATTTGTAAATTTGTATATTATTATTAAAGAACAAAAAAATTTTTGTCATTCTAGTTTTTTCACATTAATAAAATAAAATGTTAAAAATAGCAATGGGATTGGCATTTATTTCTAATCTTTTTAAGTTTTAAAATTAAAAAAAATTTCCATATTACTATGAAAATATACAATGGACACAATAAAATCAGTCAAATCTTCAAAGAAAACAAGAATAACACTGACAAAACATACATCATTCAAATTTGAATTGAAAAATTTTCTTAAGATAGTCTGTTTTATATTAATTTCTAGCTTCTGGAGTTAAAAATAACAGATAAGCACAAAAGATATAAAAATTTAATAATTTTGAAAGATAAAAACTAAATAAGCATTTTAAAGGAAAAAATTAAAAAACATAGCAAGAGTACACAAATTATATCTACAGAATATGTCAAAGATTAAATCAGAATGACTAAGTTATTTCCAAGTCTAAAATACCGATAAAATTTAACTTTCTACCTCTTGTGAAACAGATATGCAAGAGTAAAAAAATTAAAAACTCCACTACATCTGTGTGTTTTTACAGCAAATATCAATTAGTCAATTAAATCAATAAATCGTATTTTTTTTTTTTTTTACCAGAAAAAGTTTCCAATTTCTCTCAAAGTTTCGTATATACATAAAAAAAATTTCTTCCTAGCACAGAAACTGTAAGGAATGAAAAACTTTTCATTTACACAAAATATTTAGAAATAAAACTTACATTTAATAATTTGCTTGATGTTAAAGATTTTATAGATCCTTTACAATTTGTCATATTAGAAGAATTATTGAAATTTTGGTTTATAATGGTATGATGATTTTGTTTTGTATCATATATCCATCTTGCAAACGAAGATGTGTAAATATTTTGAGATTTTGATATTTTAATATTATTTTGAAAAATTGTCCTGATAAAAGAAAAAAAAACATGGTTATTATTTAAATGTTTAAAAGAAATTATATTTAATTGTAATTATTCAAATTTGAATTACTCTTATTTACCTGAACATGTTTTATAACAATGAAAACTCTTTCATTTAGCAATATTTAACCTAAAGTAAAATAGTTTTATTAATTAAAATTATTTATTAAATAAATTAATTTTTAACAATATCTTAATTACAGACATTCAAAATATTTTACATAATGTGCACAATATTTACAAAGATGTTTTAATATTAAATTTAAAATATTAAAACACAGCTAATGCATCTAAATACAATATGTTTGTTACAACATATATAACAAAACATTAACAAAAAAAAAGTTAAAATTTATATAATATAGGAATATAACTATACACTACACCCTCAATGCTTGTGGATGTTAGTGTCTAGGAATTTGATCATTTGTGATTGGAAATTTATAAAACAAAATTTCAACTTTTGTGAAAGGTTTTGATCTTTCAAGAAATGGGAAATTACATACTACTGTAAACTGGAATAGGCACTTGCAAGAATTGGATGTTTAAACAGGCAAATGTTAAAAGATCACTGCACTTGTTCATTTGTATGGTGTCTGCCATATGTTACTGTTTTGTTTATTTTTTTCTTTTGGCTTCAATACAATGACTTTTGCAGTATTATAAACCACTAAAGTATATTTATTTCATAAAACCATTAATTTTTCTGAAAATTCTTTACAGTAATACATAATTTTGGAATAATTACAAATTAACATTGAAAATGAAACTCAAAGTTTGAGAATTTGATGTTCACGAAGGATTACTTGGTCCCAATTATTCACAGACATGGGGGATTAGTTTAATTTAAATAACCTAAAAAGGTAAAATGTGAACTCTGAATGACGGGTTTCCTACTTCAGAATTGTAGACTACGTGTACAAATAAAATCGTAAAAGGAACCATACCTGTATATGCGACCCTTTCCGAGGTCAGTTTATAACCACTTGTCAGTTTACTGTACTGCCTATTCTCCATGCTCTGCACTTAGTAATGCACTTTGGTCCTTGCTATCACTTGTACCTTGGTGCCCACATGGGGACAATCCCCACACCCTCTAAAACTACATAACATCAAGTACTTCCAATTAGTCAAGTGGGCAACTCAAAGCCACATATTAGCATTGGTTAAATAGTTAAATGCAATGGAGCAGAGCAATATGACTTGTGATTGCATGCAACCTAATTTCAGGGGGCTGTATCTTACGAGGGGTCACATGTAGAGGCATGGTTCATTTGACTTTTTTGCTCCTATGGATCTGGTCTACATCTCTGATAAGGTCCCATCCGTCTCATTGAGATGTAATTGTAATTTAATTAATTCTTTACTGCAATGAACGAAATAAATTCATTAAATTTCTGGAGAATATACTTCATTTGATTTAAGAGTAAGTATTATGAAAATCCAAATTAAATAATTAGGAATATTAATCTTTCAAATGGATAAGCTCGTAACTATAATTATGTAAATAATCTTTTCAATTATCTGTGTGACATATTTACTTGTATATAATGAATTAGCAAAGTATAACACACATGACAACTTATTAAAACATTAGATAATAATATATACGAATAAACAATTTACTCATTCGAACAACGTGACTTGCTAAAACGTTGCCAGCTTACTCTCATTTTATTGTTCACGTACATGAAATAATCGCCCAAAATTCGCAAATTTAAAAATTAAGTTTTTAAATTCTGGAAGTTTTTCCCCCACTCCTCTCCTTCTTCCTAAAGAGGAAAGATGCATTAATGAGTAGGTAATGTTATATGTTGAAGGTTCCCCTCCCGTCGCCTTTACCGTACGTCCGAGATGCAGACTAAATTGTAAATTGTGTACGTAAACTATCCACTGTTGGTAAAATTTATAAATTGTACCGTTGTGGAAGTTATAAATCGTATGTAAAACTGCAAACTGTGCCCGAAACTGCAAGCTGTAAAGTCCGGTCGAACGCTTCGAACTGTAAACCTTATATAAAACTATAAACTATGCATGAAATTGTACATAGTTTTGAGTCTAGTTTACATTTTTATAAACTGTGTTGTTCNATAAAAAAATTCGATTCGTTCACTACTTTCGTTTTCGATTAAATTTTTAAAACAAAATGTTAAGATTCAAAACATTTTTAAGTAGAAAAGAGCGAAATGCTCCTTTCTACTTAAAAATGTCTTGCTGAGGTAAAAGCGAAATGTTCCTTTTTCGCTTTTAACTCAGCAATATTAATGAGAGATAAATTGAAAAATTATCTCTCAGCTTAGCACATTCTAACATCATCATCAATCTTCTTCGTCTCATGTGAAGAATAAGATTTCTACAATGAGTTCCTCATCTAGTGCCATTTGTTTAATCTGTCTCTAACTCCAATTATCTCTAACTTATAACTTCAGCTATCTCCAATTATGTGCCATTTGTTTAGACTTTCTCTAAATCTTTCCTAAACTCTTCCAATGATCTAAGAATCTCGACTACATTAATGAGCTTTGATGAAACATCAAGACCGCCTTAGGAGGTGCGGGGGACCAATTGAAAAAGTAATCTTCCGAAAATCAGTGACTTCATATTTCAGATATGTTTATATCTTGGTCACTAAAACTTACCTCATTTATGGGTCCGTGACACAAAATTAATCAGCTTGTAGTAAGATCACCTAGCTCTATAAGATCCATTTAACTGTATTTACACTCGATGGAAAAGAAACTCGGACAATGCGATAGAAACAAACATATTTCTGACGACGTCTAGAAAATTTGGTCAGTCACCATGTCAAAGAAACTCGAGAAAATTCGGGCCCTGTCTCCGACCCCTTTTGTAAAATTTAAATACTTGATTCTGAATGTATCCTATTTAGTAGAGTCGAGAAATTTCGCCAAATCTAAGCCATCGCCAGGCCCGTCTTTGGTACGTGCGATGCCCCAGGTAAAGAAAAGCTTGGAGGTTCTCTTAAGGTATTCGTAATGGAGGGCTATCCCCACACCGGTGTGACGTGGCTTTTTAATCGTTATTATACACGCGTCAGATTCTGAAATTATAGTAGAAAAAATCCAAAATTGTTCATTAAATTTCCTTTTTTTTTTTTTTTTTGGTTTAACGCGTAACAAACGAATTCAACAATTGAACTTGCTCTTGTTGTTGCGTAGTTTTGCTCTTGGACAAAGAGTGCGATTTGGAAAGCGATTCGATGATGTTTTTTGATGGTGGAGACTATCGACCCCTGCCCCATCCTCCGGGGTAAAAGATTTTTTACATTTCATTACTATTTATTCGGATAAGAAATTCGTTTTAGCAATTAAAGGCTTTAAAGAAAAACTTTAATTAAGAAAATTAAACTAAAATTAAGAAAAACTAAAGCAATTAAAGACTTTAAAGTCGCAATCTTTACATTTAATCTAATTAGGCCTAATTATATATTGTAGATGGAATATATAATTAGGCCTAATTAGATTAAATGTAAAGATTGCGACTTTACGACTTTTGTGTCTTCCTGTATTGCTGTCTGCAATAGAGGGCTTTATAAGGCACAGTTCAGGGCCTGGTGTTAAGAAGATAATTTAGGGCTTTTCAATTTACTGTTGTTTAAACGAGTAATCGGGCCTCTTTTATATCACGGATTAGGTCGTTAATATGGCGAAATTTACTAAAATTTTAAACCCAACTTCGTTTCAATATGTTCAATATGTCAATTATAATATTCAATATGTTTTTTTTTAAATAACANTTGTATCACGTTTAAGTATTTATAACGCAGAATATGGTAAAAAAATTTTTCTTTGTATTCGGATGGAGAAAACGAGAACGTTTATTTGATTACGAAGAAACGGATACGCGTACAAATAATCCCGAAACACAGTTCCATAGGAAATATTGTTTTTAGCAATAATATACCAAGAAATAATCTGTATTTTTTGAAGAGCAAAGGACCATTTTTGGTTGCCTTTGCAATATTTCTATATTAAAGACAAGGACGACTTTATGAATCATTTATGCATTTAGATTTAGCATCGAATAACGAATATAATCGGGATATAAAGGTGGCGATTCATAAAACGAAATTCGAATATTTCGTGTCTACGCTACATTGATATAATTAATGAGACTCTATTACAATGTGTGAATACCTTTCAGAATCTATTGTCCATACAACACAAATATGCGAAAAATTCGATTTTGACGACGTAGTTAAGGATTTGGCACTGGTTCCCTTAATCAAAAATAGGAGCCAAATGGAATAACAGGGCTAACGAGAAGTGTATCTTAGACAATGCGATTATTGCTTTAAAACCAGTGCACCTGTCTTCGCTTGCAATAGCAAAATTAACGTATGGTTAGAGTTATAAATTCAAACACTTCTGATGAGAAAGATTTGCCACAACTTCACAAATGTTCAGCCGATTTTCTATTAAATTAAGCGTATAAAAACTTGGAGGGAAATAAAGGAATTTTAACACGACTTTCCTGGTGACATTAAGCATCAGTTTAATTAATATTCAAGTTGGCGACTAAATAGTTATTCGGCGGATGTGATTAATCAGATTCACGTTACAATATACGTTTTGTTTTATAATTATGTATATGGAATCATTTCTAGAAATGGCCATTAAATAACCATCTCTCCCGATATTACAATATAAATATCAAGTTATTGTTGTATTTTCGCCAAGTATTTGCTTTAATTTCGTTTTATATTCCCGTGTAAGGTCTTGGTTAACGCAAAATGTCTATATTTACACGTTCGTATTTCGTGCCGCCATCACGTCAGCACCACCACGTGCATTTTTCGAACTGTCTGTATTCTAACCCCTATCCCCATACCAGTGTGACGTGGTTTTTTAATCTTTATTATACACGCGTCAGATTCTGAAATTATAATAAAAAAAAATCCAAAATTTTTCATTAAATTCCCGCTTTTTTTAACGCGTAACAAACGAATTCAACAATTGATGTTGTTGTTGTTGCGTAGTTTTGCTCTTGGACGAAGAGTGCGATTTGGAAAGCGATTCGATGATGTTTTTTGATGGTGGAGAGTATCGACCCCTGCCCCATTCTCCTGGGTAAGAAATTTTTTTACATTTCATTACTGTTTATTCGGATAAGAAATTGGTTTTAGCAATTAAAGGCTTTAAAGAAAAACTTCCATCTACAATATATAATTAGGCCGAATTAGATTAAATGTAAAGATTGAGACTTTACGATTTTTGTCTTCCTGTATTGCTGTATTGCAATAGAGGGCTTTATAAGGCACAGTTCGGGGCCTGGTGTTAAGAAGATAATTTAGGGCTTTTCAATTTACTGTTGTTTAAACGAGTAATCGTGCCTCTTTTATATCACGGATTAGGTCGTTAATATGACGAAATTTAGTAAAGTTTTAAACCCAACTTCGTTTCAATATGTTCAATATGTCAATTATAATATTCAATATGTCTTTTTTTAAAATAACAGAAAAAGATTTAGACTAGTCGATTTATAAAAGGCCCTTTCCTTCTGTCGAATAAACTTAAAANTATATATCATATATTAACCTATAAATTGCATGCATTTCTTTTATCTAACAAAACTATAAACTGTGAGAATTTCAAATAAATGCGCCCGAATCATTGAACTGTCACTAACAAATAAAAATAAATATGCTCGAAATCGTAAACTATCATTAATTAATTAATAACATATACTTTTATATAATTTATTGTTTTTAAAAATTATAAAATACGCCAAAATAATTAGTTATACATCTCTAAAAATGTTAATTTATCCATAGTTAATCGTCTGCGTTTAAGGAGAATGAGGAAAAACCCTAAACCAAGTGGTCTATAAAGGGATAAAATTCAAATATGCACACTTTAAAGTTTTATTTAAATATATAAAGTGTATTTAAAAAAAAGAGCAATTATTTGTTGTGACATCGTCACAATGCCGGGCTGCAATTTTTAATCACATTTTTAATTTATTTAATATAAAATATATGCTATCCACCTCAAATTAGTAGTGGCTTCTCCCTGTACTGTACATCATACTTTTCCTTTAACAATAGAGTCATGCCGGTCATCTATTAAACCACAGTAGCTTCCTTGTATCACGTTTAAGTATTTATAACGCAGAATATGGTAAAAAAATTTTTCTTTGTATTCGGATGGAGAAAACGAGAACGTTTATTTGATTACGAAGAAACGGATACGCGTACAAATAATCCCGAAACACAGTTCCATAGGAAATATTGTTTTTAGCAATAATATACCAAGAAATAATCTGTATTTTTTGAAGAGCAAAGGACCATTTTTGGTTGCCTTTGCAATATTTCTATATTAAAGACAAGGACGACTTTATGAATCATTTATGCATTTGGATTTAGCATCGAATAACGAATATAATCGGGATATAAAGGTGGCGATTCATAAAACGAAATTCGAATATTTCGTGTCTACGCTACATTGATATAATTAATGAGACTCTATTACAATGTGTGAATACCTTTCAGAATCTATTGTCCATACAACACAAATATGCGAAAAATTCGATTTTGACGACGTAGTTAAGGATTTGGCACTGGCTCCCTTAATCAAAAATAGGAGCCAAATGGAATAACAGGGCTAACGAGAAGTGTATCTTAGACAATGCGATTATTGCTTTAAAACCAGTGCACCTGTCTTCGCTTGCAATAGCAAAATTAACGTATGGTTAGAGTTATAAATTCAAACACTTCTGGTGAGAAAGATTTGCCACAACTTCACAAATGTTCAGCCGATTTTCTATTAAATTAAGCGTATAAAAACTTGGAGGGAAATAAAGGAATTTTAGCACGACTTTCCTGGTGACATTAAGCATCAGTTTAATTAATATTCAAGTTGCCGACTAAATAGTTATTCGGCGGGTGTGATTCATCAGATTCACGTTACAATACACGCTTTGTTTTATAATTATGTATATGGAATCATTTCTAGAAATGGCCATTAAATAACCATCTCTCCCGATATTACGGTATAAATATCAAGTTGTTGTTGTATTTTCGCCAAGTATTTGCTTTAATTTCGTTTTATATTCCCGTGTAAGGTCTTGGTTAACGCAAAATGTCTATATTTACACGTTTGTATTTCGTGCCGCCATCACGTCAGCACCACCACGTGCATTTTTCGAACCGTCTCTATTCTAACCCCTATCCCCACACCGGTGTGACGTGGCTTTTTAATCTTTATTATACACGCGTCAGATTCTGAAATTATAAAAAAAATCCAAAATTCTTCTTAAATTCCCGCTTTTTTTAACGCGTAACAAACGAATTCAACAATTGATGTTGTTGTTGTTGCGTAGTTTTGCTCTTGGACGAAGAGTGCGATTTGGAAAGCGATTCGAAGATGTTTTTTGATGGTAGAGAGTATCGACCCCTGCCCCATCCTCCTGGGTAAGAGATTTTTTTACATTTCATTACTATTTATTCGGATAAGAAATTGGTTTTAGCAATTAAAGGCTTTAAAGAAAAACTTCCATCTACAATATATAATTAGGCCTAATTAGATTAAATGTAAAGATTGAGACTTTACGATTTTTGTGTCTTCCTGTATTGCTGTATTGCAATAGAGGGCTTTATAAGGCACAGTTCGGGGCCTGGTGTTAAGAAGATAATTTAGGGCTTTTCAATTTACTGTTGTTTAAACGAGTAATCGGGCCTCTTTTATATCACGGATTAGGTCGTTAATATGACGAAATTTACTAAAATTTTAAACCCAACTTCGTTTCAATATGTTCAATATGTCAATTATAATATTCAATATGTCTTTTTTTAAAATAACAGAAAAAGATTTAGACTAGTCGATTTATAAAAGGCCCTTTCCTTCTGTCGAATAAACTTAAAAGCACGGGGATCTAATGTAGTTTGAGAGTAGAATTAAATAGTTATTGTATTGTGAATTTTCTCTTTGCATATTTAGGGAGGGATTGGATGTGGATGTGCGAAGATTCGTCAGTCCACAAAATTTGGATTATGTTAAGTTTCGAGGCAGAAAGTTGAAGAAAGGCCTCTCGAAGCAGTACGAACCCTCGACCGGTGCTTTCGAAGGTTTGGACGTTTTTGAAAATAACATCAAGCCTGCTTATAGAAAAGCTGTGATGAAGGTTCGACCAATCTGTCAGACGGCCTGCCAACGTTTTAACAGGTAAATTACATTACTGTTTGTATGTAATAAACTTGTGTATATTATATGTACGAGCTGTTTAACGAGGGGTTATTCTGAGAAATACGAGGAATCATCGTTTTAATTTTTCGATAAATAGTAATAAGTTTAATAGTTTCTTGCCCTGATGGGAAATTAAAGAAAATGTTTTCCAAGTGTTACCATTTATAAATATTCATCGTAATTCAATTCCAAAATTATATATTTATTGTATTTCTTTCCTTGTTTAGTGAGAGATTGGTCGAAGATGTGGAGGATGAAGGAGTGAACAATAGAGAGAGCGTGATTCCTCCACGAAGCACCAAAGAGAACGAAGACCCGGCAGAGCACGAAGATTGCGTGCAAGATAATCCTGGCCATTCCAGGGATAGAAATACATTGAAGAAAGTCGGGTCGTTCTTTAAGAGCATGTGGAAACCCGTTAAGAGGTAAGATTTTGTACGATTTAGCCTCTGAAATTGGCAATAAATCGAGTGTGGCGCTAAGCCCAAGTATCGATTACGCCAAAAATTTTTATAGCATTAAGATTTGAGTTGGAAATGTTTGCGAATCGCATAACTTTCCCGTATTGTTCGGCGCTGTATCGGCCTATTCGTCCGTGTCATTACTGATTGGATGAAAAGTTGAATTCAAAACGTCACCGAACCAATGAATTAGTAGAAAATTTCATAATCCAACTTTCGTTCTTTGTAGGCCAACATTTACAGCCCATCGATACAGCGCCGCAATATGTTTTAATGGAATTCAAATGGAGTTATACGTTTTCCATGAATAATTATACTTCTTTTTCTACATTTAGATCCGTGCAGAAGGTGTGTAAAATGGCCAGAAGTGGAGAATGCGAGTACGTTCGGTTCGAGTAAGGATCTCTTTGCTTCCATCTGTCAAATTCGACAATAAGATCTGCTCTGTGATTTGCTGGATCTGGGCCGAGTTGGCTAATTGTAAGTGTGTATGGCAACTTTATTGTATTCTACACCAAACACTTGGGAGATTTTACGGTCTGGGTTTATAAATTGACACAATATCTAACCGCGATTTCATAATAACCCGCAATTAATGGCCGGACAACAGAAAAAATGGAAATATTTATGTACGGTATTAGCGTGGAAATGTATTATATTTTGATGCGATCGATTTCGATGCGATTACAGAAAAGCCACGTTTTTAGGGTATCGGGCATACATAGCCTGTATATTCCTGTCCAAGTACTCACAATAATACATCCTGGGTATAAGTTGCTGGTCTCTTGACACAGCGAAAGCAATGGTATAAATGAACGTAGAAATTAAATTATCCAGTAATCTTACGTGATTACGCGGACGGGAACATGTTAAAATAATGGAATTGACAATGACATATTTGATACATACATGACACGTGGCAGTATGCAATTAATTGCGGTAAGCAATATCATTTGGCACGTAACTTTATTTCCATTTTAGAAGGAAATAATATTCTTAATTTTGTTTTCATTTAAAAATATTCAAAAAATAACAAAAAGAAATGATAAAGTTTAAAAATTAATAAATAAAATCTAAAAAGCTCCTAAAAATTGCAAAAATAATTTTCAATTTATAAGTAAAAATTAAAATATTGGTTTTTCATTCACTTTTAGATATGGTTTTTTCTGCAAACCATCGATGACTTCTCCTGATTTTGACATCCCGATTGCGTCAATGCCAAGTTCGATTATGACTTCCCAATTTTGACTTTATCCCGGCTGTGTCTCCTTATTATTGTCTTTTAGTCAATTATCATTTACCCGAATTGGTCTACACGAATTTGGACTCTCGATTTATGTCTACTTCACGAATCTGGACTCTCCCGAATTACGTCTACCCCGAATTTGACTCCTCAATTGTGCCTGTACTCGAATTGGACTCTCCCGAATTATGTCAACCCCGGATTTGACTCATGAATGGTGTCTGCACTCGAATATGGACTCTCCCGAATTACGTCTACCCCTAATTTGATTCATGAATGGTGTCTAAACTCGAATTTGGACTCAGCCGAATTACGTCTATCTCGAATTTGACTTCAGAATCCTATTTATATTGGAATTTGGACTTCTCCGGCTTGTGTCTGTGCTCAAATTTGACTCCCAATTTTTGTCATCCCTGGAACTTGGACTCTCCGGAATTGTGTTTTAATTTGTTATTGGAACGACACGCTCAACAAATTGATATTTGTTATTCAGACACTAGTAAAAGGATTAATTGCAAAACAAATTTTGTATACATAAAACGTTTAATAAATAAACGTTTGATTATTAATATATTAATTAATAATTTTAATCTCAATTATAAATTGTTGTATATTTATATTTGTAAAACATTAATTGTTACGGCCTAATTAAGGCATCCAAGCGATAGTCGAGAGCTCTCGCACACATTAAAATATGTGTTTGGACCTATATAAATGTTATTAAAAGTGTTTAAAAATGCCTCGATAAAGAATAAAACTTATGCAATTTGTAAAAACATAATGTTTGCAAAAATAAAACAGTTTCTGCAGATATAATCTTTTTCTGTTCTTTTGTAAGCGCATTCCTTTTAAGAAAGGATAATTTTAGAGAAACAGTTAAAGTGGCAAAGACACACTTGTCACTCCGAGGGTTTTATTTATTTATTTTTTCACTCGCTCCTCTGGGCACTAAGAGGGCCTTTTTATTTAGCAAGCCTGTTGCGGGTTAAGCCAGGCCACGTCAGGCGTTGATCAACGACGATCCATGAATACTCGAGGTTCGGGGGTGTTGCTAATACTGTTATTGTGAACTAGCAGATGTGCCCGGCGTTGCTTGGGAAAAAAGTAACGATAGCAAAGATTAAGGTTAGTAGATTATAGCCGATCTTACCCGTTTTCACCGAGTGCAACAATTAGGTTTCGATACTAAGTATAAAATTTTTAGCTATCTGTTTACCATACTGGGATAACGATAATTAAGGTTGGCAGCAACCACTAACCGCTAAGTGATTAATAACAAACGTTTTCGTAGCCCCTTCTGTGTTCTTTTTCAGGTATACTAAATTCGAAAAATATGCTGGATCTTCCCAAATCTTATAAATATAAAATCGAACATTAAGACGAAGAGTTCGAATAAAGCCAACTCCCCGTGTAAACTTTATATACGATGGAACGCTAAATATCGTTGAGAAGGGTCTAAAAATATGTACGATTTCTTGCATAAATGCAGAAAAGACATTTAAAATAGAATAGTAGAAGCCTTACTCTTCACGGCGGCGAAAAACAAGAGTAATAAAGGCAAAGGAAATCGGAAATTACAACTAACGTTCGGCCGAACGTCGGAAAAAGCAGTTAGAAGTAGCAAATTTCCGGAACTCGTAGCTCTGGAAAAAACACTCGATCCGGAAAAGAAGAAACGCCGTTGGAGACAGCTTGATGAAACGAATCAGAAAATGTATTTATATGCAGAAAAATAGAGAAAACTCTCGAAGAAAAACTTTGCGAAACGAACAACTGAGGTATTGGTTGACTGTTCAATCGATACTTTTGAATACTTTTGTCCTTCTGTTATTCTTGCACTGCAAAAAACTTTGTGTCGATTGGAACCGAAGAACAATTTTCAGTTGCACATCAAAAGTCGAAAAGTGCAAACATTATTTCCGGAATTTTCAAACATTCTTTATTTTTCCATCATTTATAATTTACGTCTTCAGGTTGGTTCAAAAGATACGATGCAGCCATTCCTCCATATTCAGTGTTCTCATTTTCCTAAACATATCAAAAGCAAATGGCCGAAATAAAAAATCTAACGGCAAAAGTTCAGAAATTTTTAAAATTCTCAGCAGATATTAATTAAGTCGTTTTATACGGCGTTTTATTTTTTAAATTAATGTATGGAGGTTTATGATATCAATGTTATCAACTTATCCTAACAGCAGTGAATAATAACTTGTGCTGTACGAGTGTCATTGCATTTTTAATGGTATGTCTTAAAGTTACATGTTTTAGAATCGTTATATAATTTTTACAAAATGTAATAATCTAATGTATATGTTTCTTCTTATCAGTTGACTGATGAGGGGCTATACGCCCGAAACGTGTAAAAGTGCCCTTATCAACTGAATAAAGTGGATAAACGCCAAGTGTTTTAATAATAACACAGTCTTGTGTTCAATAGTAAATATTAATTCAGCTTCAAATTTCGTAAAAAATATCTTGCCCCCACAGACTATTATTGATTTTTACATCACGCTATGTGAGAAACCCCTGAATGCTGACACTGCATTTGCTAATGTGTGCGTATCGTCCACTTTTACATTGGAATCAATGTAAACGTTTGGCTTTGTTCGGTGTCGTTGTTAGAGCCGGGCAACGGGCCAAGTGTCTAAAGGTGGCCCGCCCTTCAGGAGTTTAGTTTTTGGTTTTTAAAGTTTTTGCGGTAATGTGACGTTGTGCTCACAGGAAATGCATTAACTGCTTTCCGGGAGGGGAGAGTTTTGGATTGAAAAAATGTGACTTCCGGTTTGCATCGGAAATTCATATACAGTGGGTGATCAGTTAACGAACAAATAGGATAACGAACACTTTCGCGATGGATTTTTATGTTCGGACAACGAACACATGATCGGATAACGAACACCCCACAGAACAAACACAAGAAGAAGCGACGTAAATTAATGAATAACGATTGGTCTTCCCTTGTCTTCGGGCAACAATTAGAAACTTTTCAGAGTGTGGGAGACGTCGACATCGACGCTCAAGCCGGTATATACCGATCGGATAATATTCTCCGAACTTTGAAATTCTCCCTTGTAATTCCAGCCTTTTATTTTTCTGACAAAACAATTCTTTTGTGTATTCGCGAGACTGTCGGGTAGGCATTCGTTAAGTTTTGCGTCTGTTTTTCTTTTCGAAAGGTGAGAGTATAATAGCAAAGGTAGAGAGTGGGCAGAAGATGCCTAATGTTGCTGGGAAATATGGCGTAACAGGTAAACAGGTCATCGAAGAGTTCGTAATGTAACCTAAAACGGATCTGACGACAGAAGAATGCNTTTTTTCTTTTTCATATAAGAAGGAAACTATATCACAAAAGTTATAACTGTATGATTTATATATAACCATTTAAAATGAATGTAAAATATATCTTGTATATGTATTTATTTCTTTTGTAACTAGTATTAATGGAATTATGTACAGAAAAGTAAAAACTTGCAGGGACAAAATAGCCAAAACAAAAATAAAATTTATATTAAGTTCACAATGATACTTATTTGTTATCAAAGAAAGAAACTGAATAAAATACAAATGTTCCTAAGATCATGTGTATGGAGGTTTTTCTGTAAGCAGTGCTCCTAACATTTCTGAAAGTTTATTCTTGAACTTTGTTCTTTAAAAGTTTTTTCATCATTGGTCCATAAAAGTACTCATTTTATAAAATTAGTTTTAATTTTATATACTACTAGCAGATAATCCCGGCATTGTTCGGGCAAAAAGTAACGATAGTGAAGATTAAGATTATTACATTATGGCCAATCTTATCCATTTTCACAGAATGCAAGAATTGTCCCCCTGTTTCCAAGTAATTAGAAAATTTTTAGATGGATCTAAAAATATGTTTGATTTCCTGTAAAAACACAAAAAAACTGCATCTTCTGCTGTAAATCTTGTACATCATTTTCTCTTAACACTTTGTTTTCATTGTTACTTAACACTTTCATTGTTAGCACTTCCCCCACGGGGGGATTTCGAAAAATTCCTTCTTAGTGTACATTCTCTTGATGTACCTATTAAAACAAAAAACTGCATCTAAAATAGTAGAATTTTTGAATAGGAAGTTAGAATAGAAGTTGAGTTCTTCATTGTAAGACTTAATCCAGTCCCTCTCCTCCACGGAGGAATTTCAACATCTATATAATAGTAGGTATATAAAAATGCATGTATTTGAATGCAACATTGTGTCAAAATTTCAAAGCAAACGGTGAAGAACTTCTGGAGATTTAAGATTTTGAACAAACAAACATTTACATCTTTATATAGATTATATGTATAATAGAAAATTTGAGGTACTTATCAAAAGCTGAAATATGAACGAAGTGCTGTTTTTGTTCTTTTACCTTGTTTTTAATGTTGTTAATACTGTTACTTAGATAGCTGGATGACTGAGTGATTAAGGTATCAATCTATTGATCTGGAGATTGGAATGAATTGGGTGGGCTGAGAAATCCTTGGAATTTTTTGGGTGTCCCATCCCAGCAGGAGCCCTGTCTTGCTGTTGTCCGGATACTCCATTGTGGGCCTGGCTGAACTCATGATGGCCTTGATAAAAAGCTCTTAATACTACGGGATAAAATATAAAAATAACTGAAAACTGATTTTATATAATATGCATGTTGTATATAATTAGAAATTTTATGTAATATTCTGTAGGCTGTTTTTTCATGAAAATTTTGAGTCTTTTCTGCTCCAGCAAAAAGTATTTGAGATATTCTTATGATGAATCTAGATTTTTATTGAATGACTACTGTTAGCATTTGAAGCTTTGAAAAGTTAAACACAGTCAAGTACCCAAGCATCACCTGACCAAGATATATGAAACAATCTGTACAAATCTTCATTTTTCAAATTTTATGTATAAAATACTTATATACTGTATATGCAAGATTGAATATTCTGAAATTATAATCATCTTGAATTTAGTAACTGATGAAATTAATTAAATAAGGGAAGATAGTTTTATAATTATATTTATCAATAATATCAAAAATTTGATTCATTTAAATAAGAATAATGTGTTTTTGCAAGGCTATGAAGTTGTGTAAAAAGCTACAAACTCCGACCAGGGGCGGACTTGTTAGCAAAATAGGCCTGGAAATTCTGATGTCATCATGTGACCTCAGAATAAAAGATTCAATAAATACAGTTCTAATAAAGATAGAAAAATGTAGAAACATTTTTATTCCAAAGCTAAAAGACTCCTCTAAGTAACAATGCAGTCAATATATAAATATGTATTTGATAATT